AGAACATCCAGTTAGCAGGAGAAGTACTTAATGAGGATTTGATATAATTCTGGTGTCATTTATGTCAGTTTTTTTGGACTTCATTCACTTTGTTTAAACTTTTTTTTGTTAGTTTATAGAAAATTTAGTTTCTAATAATTACACGTATAGTCGGCTTTGGTTCTTCCTTATATCAGTGTCAACGGTGAATGACGACACGACCACTCTTCATCTTCATAGATCTTTGGAAGAAGAATGTTACAGGTCCCTAATTATAAGAAATTCTATTTTCTATCTACTAACACTTGGATACATTTTGTATCCTGTTTTTTGTACTTAAAACAGCTTTGTACTTGATTTTTGTTTTTTAATGAACAATGTTTAACCCTTGTTTTTCTATCAAAAAAAAAGCACCATCATACTGAATTCTAATTTCTAACATCAGAAAAACACAATGGAAAAAAAAAACAAAAACAAAAGTAAATGGTCCCTTTCCTCTCTCTATTATTCCTACTTCTTATCATCTCTACTTTATTTTTGCCACTCTACCAAGTGCAGCAAAGCTTAAACTAGCGAGAGTGCAGCCTTTTTCCGTAAAATAGAGGGAGACTTTTGTACGTCAGTTGCTTCATTTTCTTCTAGTTATTTGTACTTATATTTAATGCAATCTTTAGTTGAACTTTGTTGAGTGACTTGAGTCGTAATCACGTTTCTACTTCTAACAACTTCTTTGCACCTTTTAATTAATTAATAAGTGAATAACTTTGCTCCGTAGAAACCGGCGCACTCTCTGCTTATATTATTATTTGATGGAGATTTTTTTACAGATATCACTGATTTGTTTCAATTGTTAATAAAGCATATACTTTATGTTATCTGCGGGCTTCGATTATGAGACTGCTGCTCAGCATTTTGTAGAGCAATGTATAGTGGGTTTTTCTATAGTGCTGATGGACACTCTATAAGAGATGAGAGAGATAGAGAGAAGTGAATTGTCCATAGAATTTAGTAAAAATCAGGAGGACCCATAAACAATTCACTTCTCTATCTCTCTCCTCTCTTATAGAATATTCATGGGCACTCTATAGAAAAACTCATGCATACTTTAGGGGTGACACTTGATTGGACTCGGATTATTGAGCCAACTCATGAGCCCCAGTTTAGGCAAGACACGGCTGCTACTAAAAAAACACATGCGAATGAGCGTCACTTTTGTATTTATATGCGCGCGGTGGGTAGGTAAATGAGCGGAACCAGCTAGAGTATTTATTTCTGGCTGAATATGAGAAAATCCCCCTTACTTTTGGACGATTATCAGATAGCCCCCGTACCTTTCAAAATATAAGAACAACACCCTTAAGTTAGGTGTTTTTCTTTTATAGAAAGCCTCTTCTAAATTTAATATTTTAGCAAAAAGCGTCACAAACAGTGTTAACCGTAACTTTCACATGGATTTCTAGCTTTATGGCAATCTTAATCTTAATATTCAAATAATATAAGATAGGATAGAAAAAAAGGCATGATTTGCTGGATATAGATGGATGCATCGTGACTTCTTTTATTATAGAAAATAAAAGTTGCGACGAGCATCGATGTGGATATGAGGGTTGGTTGGTGTTAATTAATGATGGTCAACTCATTATGCAATAGGAGGATGACACCTCGTCTGTCCCACCTGTTGGTCTTATATTTTGTGTCATTGGAAAATTTTTATTAATTAATATATCATGTATTTATATTTAAGTTAAAGAAAAACTAAGAAAGGCCACAAATAAGAGGATTTTATAATAATAATGCTTAGGCTATTTCTCTCAAAAAATAATGTTTAGGCTATCGATGGAATGTTTTTATAACAAAAAATGAGATCTCTATAATTCTATTTTTGTGTGAGATCTCTATAATAGTAATAATAGATAACATCACAGGCATAGGCTGAAAACATACGTCAGACTCAAAAGGACGATTCCCAAATGTGATCAAAATAATTTTGGCTGAGGGTTGAAACTGAAACGGGTTGGATTTGTCTTTTTAAGGGCTTTATTTATAGGGTTAACTCCGAATAACCCCTCTTAGTACTACTCAATTACGAATAGATCTCTATAATTCTATTTTTGTGTGACACCGCAGAGTGATTTTTTTTTTTTTTTTTTTTTTTTTTTTGGGTTTTTTTTTTTTTTTTTTTTTTTGTACTTTTTACAGAGCTAAGAGTTCTTTTGAGGAGGTAGATAAGCCTAGACTATCTTTTTTATTTTATCGTTTTTTATGGTTAGCCTAGATGTTAGACTATCAATTGCTATTATTTAGTCGAACATATACCTAAATATTATTCATAATTCTTTTTAGCATACATCATCATCAGATGAAATATACATGATTATTGATGAGCTTCTTTGCATTATTTGAATTTTTTATTTTTTTTGGAGGGGGGAGGTAGAGAGAAAAATAGCACCAGAGGTAAACCCATCGGTCCCCACTACTTTGTAGACAAATACAATGCTTGGACTTGTTACCAATAACAGGCTCACCTTCTCTCTCCACTAAAAAGTAACTTCATTTTACTAGGTATTTGTTATATCTTCCTCTTTTTTTTAATAGGAAAAAAGGACGAGGCCTCAACAGGCGTAGCCCCAGCCTGAGAGTGTACTCCATAAGTGTTATCAAAATGAATGACTGGGTACATACAGTGAATGGTGAATTCTAAGGGGTTGTTTGGTTCGTTTCATAGATATAGAGAAATGTATTTTCATGTATAAAAACACAAGTTTTGAGTTTTTCAAACTTTTCTAAGAAATAGATTGTTTCGTTTTGGTTCGCACAAAAAAATGGTAGGTAACCAATGTATTTATTTTTCTTATGTTTGGTTCGCATGGAAAAAAAAGAAAAACTTTTGTTTATATGGCAAAAAGCTAACGTTGCTGTAGTTTTCGTCGATTTTAAGAGGTTGAGAAAAGAATTGGGGGAGAGAAAAAAATTTGATGTGGCGGCGATTTTCACCGAGTTTCCCTTTTTCAACCCTAGCGCACCAAAAATGGGGGGAAAAAGCCGACATAAAGCTTATATCCTATGTAAGCACGAAAAATATGATGTGGAGGCGGAGTAAAACTTTTCCTCCGAGTTAAAAAACGAACCAAACAACCCCTAAAAAGATAGATATAACTAACATTTCATGAATCTTAAAAGGAAAAAAAAATCCAAGACCTCGGTTCCAAAATAACAAGTAACGAAGATTTATAACATTGGAAACAAATAATAAATTTTTAATGAGAAGTATTAAAAAGGTCTATTTTTTTATTGTAATTGATACTTAAAAATCTATTCAGACTTGACCTTTTCACCCATTTTGTTTTCGAAAGTGAAAGGAGGTAAAAGAAAATTGACTTGGATATTTGCCTACCAAAAAGGTTAGACGTATCTATCATAACCTCAAAACACAGAAATTTTTAGCTCATTACAATTCTCGCTGATATTAACAGTTGTTACCGCTTCCTAATGATTGTAGATCCTCAACGGTGTCATTGTCACCGGAAAAAAACGGAGAAAGCGTCAAATTATACTACCCCTTGTAGCCTGAATTACTTTTTTTTAGAACAAAGTATAAGATCGAGTCAAAACGAACAAATCGGCCACCATCATCATTCTGTCAACAAACGGCTCTAGCATCTTCCCGTTCCTCGCCGTTACTTCACGGCGCTATAAAGTACTCTCACATCCCTAAAAGTTATTGCCTCGCATTTTGAAAAAATACACTCATGCACGAGTATTTTATAATTCTCAATATATCAGGTTTTTTTTTTCCAGAGCTCGGCTAGAAAAATTACGTTATTATAATTGGAGTTAGTTTCTAAATCACATGTACATTAATCTTTTATGACGACTCGACGTAGACAAATCTATGTACTCGTGCTCTTTATGAATGAGCCTCATATTAATCTTTTTTGTTCAGGATTATACTAGCTAGGAAACGATTTTTTTTGTACATTACTCACTATTTTTTTAGCTTGTATATATATTATCTAAAAATGCCATGTAGGCATTATTGGCGAAGAAAAATATTATTTTAAAGAAAATTGTTTGTTGTTTTAATGAATGGTTGTAATTTATCTCACTATTAACACACGGAGTGCTTTCAATATTCATATCAATAATATTTTCTTAATATGTCTCACAATTATGACAATCACCAATAGAGTGATAAGAAAAAATAAATATAAGAAAGTTTCAATTTTGGGTTGTAATGGAATTTTGTTAAATAAAAATGAAAACTAAATAATTTGCTTTGAATTACAGGATCCAGAAGGATTTGTTAGCAAATATAGAAGTTAATATTTAAAAGTTAATACAAAACATTCTACTAAATGAGAAAGTATTTTGTAGGAATGGCTCATGTCATTAAATATGCACTTAAAGAATGTTAACCGTTAGATCTGTGTACGAATCTCTAAATCTAATGATCAAACGGCTGACATCATTTGAGTACACATTTAATGTACGGATCCGGATGCGCTTGATATTTTTCCAGTAATATTTCTCTTCCCATAATCCAATCCAATTATCCAAACGTTAATTCTCTCACCAGAAAGAAAAGATTCATATTAGCATTCGTTTGTTTTGACCTCCCCCTGTTTACAATATCCAAAATTGCCTCATGATTAATTACTCCTTTAATCACAATTAACCCATCATTAATCAGTAGCATCTTGGCCACAACCGCCGTCTACAACGGGCCCTTCCGTCAACTAACGGCCCTACCGACAGAGAAATCACAAACGGTGGGCAGAACACGGAGCTCATTAACGCTCCACTACTCAATCTCAGCCGTCCTTTCCCGCTGTCATCATCATTAGAAGTACACGCGTTCTCAATCCGCTCATCCTGGGCCCTGATGACCTGGCCCTAATAAAGTGGGTGGATCCTGATTAAAACAAACGGTCAAGATCATGGGCAAAATTGTAGTTTCCACGAACTAGACCGCGGTCGTACGGACACGTCGCTCGATATAAACGCCACCGACGCCTAAAGCTCGTCCTGGGAGATTAAAAATGGTGAAGGGATTTGGGCTTTCTTATTGAGATTTCGCGGCAATTTTCGCCCAATTTCTGCCGAAGTTCTAATTTTTGTTCCAAATCCCGAAATTGGCCTCTTAGATCTCGAATTCGAGCAGAAAACACGGGGCCTTCATATTTACCCCATTTTTTTCCGCGCATTTTTGGTTGGTTGTGAAGTGTTAGGGTTCATTTATTGGATTTAGAGGGTTTTCTCCCCCATTGTTTTTGTTGGGTTTGAGGTTGAATCGTTGAAGTAAGTGCAGATTCCTTTGCTGGTATAAAAAATTTCGAGCTATTGTGGACGTTGAGCGTGTTTCTTGAAGCTGCATTGATCTCAATTGAAGAGATTTGCCTCTTTTTTCGCAGATTAATCTCGTTTTGTTTGGGGTTAGGGCGAAAAAGGGAATTTTTGGACGAACTAGGGTTTTCTATGAATGGGGGGTTTGGGGACTGGAAGATGTGTAGACTAGAGAAGAAGGGTTGTTTTGATCCTGAGTTCTGTGACAAGCATTATCATCACATGGGTTTGAAGAGCAATGTGAAGGGTTTAGATAAGGGTAAGGGATTGAATAGCATGGTTTCAAGATCGAGAATGAAGCTTTGGATGATTAGGGCGACGACGACGGTGCTGTTGTGGACTTGTGTTGTACAGTTGACAGCAATGGGGGAGCTCTGGGGGCCGAGAGTACTGAGAGGGTGGCCTTCTTGCTTTAATTCTTCGGATTCTCGGCTGCACGTGAAACCCTCTTCTTCGTTGCGAATGAAGGCTTATTCTGCTTTGCCCGTGCCAGTTAATCCCTCTTTGTCATCGTCGTCTTCTTTGGTGGTGGAGAGGATTTCTCTTCCACCGAAAAGTGAGTTTTATTTTGCATTGCTACTGTTTGTTGTGAATGCTATTGACATTTGGTGTCCTATTTATTCTTTGAGTAGGCTCATACTTTGTTAATTTGGGATTTTAGATTGTCTCCATTCTGGAGACCTACCGTCATTGTCTGTGATGTTTACTGAAATCTAGGTTCAATGGATTTAATCAGGGTCTTTCGAACCTTTAATAGGCAAATTTATCATTTATTGTGTAGGGTGTTTAATGTTTTTATCGATTCACTAGGTGTCCCTTTTATTGAATCGGCTAAGTGATTGATGGTTGGGAGGATTTCTCTTAGAACTGGGTTATTGCTCTTCGATTTATGGTAAATGGGTGCAAACTGCACTTTTGATAAATAGGTATGAAAGTGTGATCAGGTATTCTCCACCGTTTTTAAAGAGACACCTAATTTGTGAACTGAAATTTTCTCTATTTTGTATGTAGAGTATTTGGTTTTGTGATACCTGTTTGTTAAAACTAGATTATAGGAAGAGTCTGGCAAAATACTTGTGTTTAAAAGGTATTCTTTCCAATTTATCACCCGAGTTGCTGGGAATTGCGTTATTTTTGTATTCATTTGTCTACTAATTTTTGGATTGCCAGTTTTTTTGTCTGCTTAGTTAGCTTCTTTCTGATGTGGGTACTTCTCATCCTATTTGTCATGTTTTAATCAAATTATGTATTTAACTATGTTGCCTGTTATCTAATTTGGAGTAAATTGAAGAACTCGTAGTATTTTGATTGATTTTTGTTGTTTTGATATATCAAAAAAAGACTGCTTTGTCTAACTAGGCACACACTTGTTGTCTTGTTCTGGACTAGCGAGTGACTACTGGAGGGATATTTGATATTTCCTCTTTTGGAGATCTTTCCTGTTTTGAGTTTGTCCAATCGAGGCACGTTTTCTAAACTGCTTGTTTTCTTTAGTTGTGTTTTTTGAAGGAAATAAAACATCCTATTGTGACTGGTAATCAGAAGAAGTTTCCGCTAATAGATTTGATTGATGCAGTCTGGATAAATCAAATTAAAGAAAATGCTATTTTCATTTCCTGTCAAATAGTCGTTGGTTCCTATCAAAGAATAAGAGTTTGTTAAAATGTTATATCGAACAGGCAATTATGTCTGCGTGTGTCTTCAATGTTTTTCTCACCATTCCGCTTCGTCTAGGATCCCCTTGTTCCTGTGACTTTCTCTTACTCCTACTGTCCTTTTGCAGATATCAACAACTTTTTTCTGAGTGGACCTATTTTTCTAACTAAATATTATAATGTGTCTGTATTGTATCATCTTTCTTGCTTGCAGTTTACATTTACAATCCATTTGAACATGTATTCCTGCACTGAATTTCTATTTAGTTCGTTTGAACTTTGAAGTCATCTGGTACTAGAGCTATTCATTTGAATAAGTAGTCCTGCCGGGATCTATTTAATTCGTTTGAAGTCATGTGGTTTAATTATAATACTAAACCATGTTCAAATTTTACTTTCCAGACACTTTTCATCCAAGATATGCATAATGGAATTGCAAGTATTCAAAAATTTCAAATATTGTTGAGCAATCCTTTGTGGCAAAATTAATCCTCATATGTTTAACTCTTTGGTATACTCTTTCGGGGTAGTGTTGTTTCACTTTCGTATCAGCTGTTTCTCACACTTATCTGTTTCATCTGATTACTTTTGTCCATTTTCATTTTCCAGGAATATACAAAAATAATGGTTATCTAATGGTGTCATGCAATGGAGGACTTAATCAAATGCGAGCAGCTGTAAGCATCTGATAGTCTTTTAAATATTAATGTTTTAGATGTTTATCCGTATTAAGCTAATCATCGTTATTCTTCTTACATGGTTCTTATATGACAGATATGTGATATGGTTGCTATTGCAAGATATTTGAACGTGACACTAATTGTACCTGAGTTGGATAAAACCTCTTTTTGGAATGACCCTAGGTGTGTTACATTAGTTTTATGTTTGAGGAAGTTGATGGTTTGATCCTAGAACAGTTGTTTACTAATCAAACCCTCATTCTCCAACACGTTAATCCTAAGACTATATTTTTTGCATATTGCAGTGAGTTTCAAGATATATTTGATGTGGACCATTTTATCACATCACTAAGAGACGAGGTTCGAATATTGAAAGAACTCCCCCCTAGGTTGAAGAGAAGGGTGGAGTTGGGTATGCACTACTCCATGCCCCCTGTTAGCTGGTCTGACATTTCTTACTACCAACGCCAGGTCTAGTTCCTTTTTCTAGCATGTTTCACTAAGAGAGAATTTATACAATACAGTTTGGTAAAAAGAGAATCAGCTGGTTTTTATCTATTTTTGCAAGCAGATTCTTCCTTTGATACAGAAGTTCAAGGTGGTGCATTTGAATAGAACTGATGCTCGACTGGCTAATAATGGTCTCCCGTCGGAGATTCAGAAACTACGATGCCGAGTAAATTACGCTGCCCTGAGATTCACTTCTCAGATTGAAGAGTTGGGTAAAAGAGTGATCAGCTTGCTGCGCCAAAATGGCCCTTTTCTCGTCCTCCACCTCCGATATGAAATGGACATGCTGGCTTTTTCTGGTTGCACACAAGGTTGCACTAATAAAGAAGTAGAGGAGTTGACAAGAATGAGGTCTACATTCTTTTACCTTTTTTTTTAAATTTCTTTACCACTGATATTTATTATTACAAATTGGTGATTTTTTTGAGCATTTTGAAGCATGTATTATCCCGTCATACTTTTTTGGTTTATTATAGGTATGCATATCCTTGGTGGAAAGAAAAAGTTATCAATTCTGATTTGAAAAGGAAGGATGGTCTCTGTCCTCTGACACCAGAAGAGACTGCTTTGGTTCTGAAGGCTCTGGATATTGATCGTCGTGTCACTGTATATATTGCGGCTGGTGAAATTTATGGAGGAGCAAGGAGAATGGCCAGTCTGACCGCAGCTTATCCCAATGTGGTCAGTGTTAGCTTGTGCATTAGTTGCTTTACTTTGCTCGTAGTCTTTTTCTATCTCTTTTGTCTTAATTGATCTTGTTCTCTTTATAGGTGAGAAAGGAAACACTTCTGGAACCATCAGATCTTAGATTTTTTCAAAACCATTCGTCGCAGATGGCAGCATTAGATTATTTGGTCTCACTGGAGAGTGATATCTTTGTTCCTACATATGATGGTAACATGGCCAAAGTCGTTGAAGGCCATCGCAGGTATTGTTTTCCCTCGTCTTTTTTTAGTGAAGATCACACTCATCTATTTTTTTTTCTTCACGTTTTTGTTAGCAGATATGAAGGAGATATGAAAAAAACTAAACTCTATTGTTGTATTATAATCCCTTCTAGGTTAATGACATTGACTTACTATCATGTGATCTTACCCTCCCAACTTCCAATAACGTCTTTCCTTAACTTCGAGTACAAAATTTATCAGAACAACCTCGCGCAATTGGGTGATCTATACCATTCACGGGTGGGTAAAGGGTTTGGAAATTTTAACGACTCTACTTATGGTGCAAACTGCCATTCTATAGGGTTAGTTTTGATAGTATTTGCATTCCTTAACTTCTGCCGTTTTGAGCTCCACCCTATGGCTGTTAATGTCATGTCCATCGAAATTTTTTGATCATGCATTAGAACTGTTTCGACCTTTTCCTACTATAACTGCGCGTTTACAACCAAGTCCCAACTATCTCAGATGCATTCCTGACGCATGAAGTTCTGTAATGATTTTGATACAAATACAAGCATCTCCTAAAACTTTAGTTGCTCCACGAATAAAATTAGAGGTGTCAATACTATGACTCGGGACACTTTTCCCCTTTTAACATACTAATGAGCCTGTCAAATTGACGCCACCTGGGCTAATTCTTTTCCTATTGTTTAAATGTTTCAGACACTTTGGCTTCAGGAAGACATTCTTACTGAATCGAAAACTCCTAGTTGAGCTTATAGACCAATACACCAATGGATCTTTGGGTTGGGACGAGTTCTCCTCCTCTGTGAAGGCAGCTCATGCAAATCGCGTGGGGAGACCTTCAAAGAGGTCTATCATTCCTGATAGACCAAAAGAAGAAGATTACTTCTATGCAAATCCTCAGGAGTGTTTAATATCGAGTAGTTAAAACCTTGGACATCTTCAACCGAGTCTCTCTAGTTTGCTATCCTTCAGTTGACGCAGTTAGTCTTACCGATGATGACTGATTGAGGTTGAGAAAGAAAAGCTCGTGTGCTACTAGAGTAGACGATGAAGTAGAAGAGGTTCGTTGATTGGAGGTGGTTTATGGCAGCTGGTATATATACGTAATTTACGATATAAGGGGGGTATTTTTATTTATATTTTTCAATAAGTGTTTTCGTTCTTGTATAGAGAGGGAGGTGAGAGGAGGGGAGAGGGATAAGGGGAGGCGTCTTCCCTGCACATATGTAGGAAAATGTCAGCTGCCTTCATGTTGATAACAACAAATAAAAATTGATACAAGAGGGATGGACAATGAGGCGAGAGCGAGGGAGAGGAGATATCACTTTGTTTATCCATTTAATGGGAATTTTGTGGAGGGTTAATTTTCTATATTTTTAGATTTGTATTTTTTTTTAAATTCTTCTTTTTCTTAATGCGTCTGTATTTATTCTCCTTGCTTCTGAATTCAGAATCATCATGTACTAGTCCTTTGAATTTGTTTGATTATATATGAGAAAATGGAGAAACTTGACACCAAGTTGCTCCAAATAACTTGATAGTGAAGTGGCGTAATCTGGTCCCTACCTCTACATTGGAGTTAGTGAAAGATGATTGAGACTCTATCTTCAAGGTGTGATATAGGGATCAGATTAGGTCACATCATTACCAATACCAAGTTGCTTGGAGCAACATGGTACCATCGCAATGCTTGCTACGAGATCACACGTTAATACCATTAATAACAAAGTCAATGAGAGGTGATGCAATCAAGGTATTGGGATCATTGACCCAGATTATTTAGTTAACCAAAATCATAGAATGAAGGGAAAACATTCATTTGGGCAAGTTATGCAACGGTCTCCATCCAAACGCAATGTTTGCAGGACAAGGGAACAGGCAATAACAAAATCATGTCACGGGTAGCATCATATACAGAAAATTTCGGAATATGTGGGCACTGTCTCTTTCATTGCTATCCTTGGAAGTGGAGCCCACAAGGTGGGGTGATCTTAAAACAAAAGGCCAGTTGCGAAGGTGGGTAGGACTGTAGGAGTCATTTAAAAAAGTGGGCCTCATTTATTGATTGATGAGAATTTTGTTGGTGACGTGGAATAAAGGATATCATTGGGGAGTGCGGTAAGAGAAGTGGCAGATCCGAGGCGGAGCGATGTTTTAATTGGACGAGGTAACTGACACGTGGCGTCGAAGAATAGCCAAGCCCAGTATGAATTTGAGAGGATTTTAATGTACAGGCTTAACCGCACTTAGATTTCCACTACTCCGCACTTAAATATTTTTACTTATTTTTTACGGCATTTAGTACCCTAAAGTTTTTTAAAAACCGTAAAGAAATGGATTTGAGAGGCCCTATTATTTCACTCCGATGCTCGCGTCATCATCATATCATTGTTTTTCATTTTTCGGACGCAAAAATGAGTAGAAAAATGTGATTTTTTTTTTGGGTCGGCTCAACAGATACATGATTGCTAGTGTAATGAGAGATGAAAGTGATATAACGGGAATAATAGGTTTCTACATGTCATTCCTTTCTTAAACAATCTCAGTAACCTTTAGATTTTTCAACGCTCCCTAGGTTCCTTCCATTAAAAAAACTTATTAAATATTAATCCTTATTATATTCACGAAATTGTTTATTACTATACTTATCACATATTGAATGCATTTTTGAGGTGCCGTCGATGCAGTGGAATACTTTCTCACATTTAATTTAATATAAATTTAATTTTTGCATTGTTGCATGAAAGATAAACAAGATCAAGTAGATTAACGGATATATCTACATCTGCATTAGGGGTTCTATTATCTGGATAAATTTTATGATTCATTTCATCATTTTAAGTGTGCCAATTGTCTATAAAAATTACAAGCCGAACGGGAATAAATATGTATATCCAACTTCAATTTGTGATATTCGTCGAAGCAATTTCAATTTATAGACTAGGAAATTTTTACAACTGGTAAATGATGGGCTAACGGCCCATGTAGTAAAACAACTGGAAGATTATGGGCTACATGCAACATTCGGCCTTATTAACAGGACCCAAGCTCTTCTTTTAAGTTAAGCTAAAGGCCCTCCCACTTAATGACACTAGGTGTGAGGCATGTGCATGGTCAAAATATTTTGACCAATTTTGTTGTAGTCATTACCTCATTATATTGTTTTCAGTAACACCTATGTGGCTATGTATATGTGTATTAATATATTTATTAATGTACATAATTTATGAATAAATAGCAACAGAGGATGTATTATAATACATGTAAATGGAATGCATGTTTATAAAAGTTGTTTATAAAAGTTATTATGCAGATGATGGTCATAAATGAGTTATAAATCCTAATATTGTTTCTTGATGAGCTTATTTCATCAAGTTTCATGATATTTTCTTACCATTCAGATTCATCCTACTTGACCAAATTTTTTAAAACTCTAGTATTCATTTTATAAATTAATAAAAATTTAGGGATTTTTTTTTTGAAGTTTTGAGGTAAACTTTATTGTAAATTTTATAAATTTCAGGTGTTTTATTAAATTAGGGACATTTCTATAAAAATTTAAAATGTTTGTAACGGTAGATATTTCTACAAATTTTATAAGATCTAGGTTTTTTCTATAAAATTTTCAATATGTTTATTTTTTTTGAGCTGAAAAAGCAGGGTTAAAGGCCCTGCTCATAAAAACTATTATTAATAGGAAACAGAGATACAAAACAGATACAACAGAACGTCACTAACTAGATGTAGAGCCGGTGAGAATGCAGTAGGTAAGGAGCGGACATATATCGTCACCTACCAAACTGTACCCCCATCGATTCTACTTAGGTAGTTGGTGTTTTTTTTTTCAATATGTTTATGTCTTTTCGGATTTCACAAGTTCTGTGAACTTTTTCACAAAATATATAATTTTTAAAAGACTTTTGTATATTTCTACTAATTTTGTGAGTAGATTATATTATAAAAATCCTAAAATTATTGAAGTTTTTTTAGCAATATTTCTACGAGTTGAGTAAGTTCTATGGTTTTTAAATATTTTCTAGCTTGGTTAATCACACATATTTAATTTTTTGTCTCCTTAATTGTGAATATAATTAGGAGTTACAATGTTTTATAATATCATTTAATTATTTTTGTCTCTATTTTCAAATTTAAATATAAACAAATGATAAAATAAAGTGTTCTATTTTTACTTGTGAGTTACCGAATTTAAATCTTTAGAGAAATTATAAGTATTCATATATTTTCTCTAGTAAATAAACTCGTTAAGTTATGAAAAGTTATGTATAAATTGTATTTTATTAAAGATATTTAATTTTATTAGAACATGATCATAATCAAATCATTCTAAAGATATTTCTCTTAACTAGGATAATTTGACATCTATGAAATTATTTTGGATTTTTGTGCAAAATTTTTAAAGTCTATGATATCTACAAATTTTGTAAAATCAAGATTTTTTCCGTAAAACTTTCAATATTTTGAATTGTTTTGGATTCAATCTAAAATATACAGTTTTTAAATTCTTTTTGGTATTTCTACTAATTTTGTAAGTTGATTTTTCTTGTAACATCTTCAAATTATGTTTTATGAGTATTTCTACAGGTTGTGTAAATTCTATGGATTTTGAATATTTTCTAGAATGGTCACTCACACATAATATTTATCTCCTTAATTATGAAGATAATTTAGGAGGTGAGAATAATTTATAATATCATCTAAGCTTTGTATTTATTTTAAATTTTAAATATAAAGGAACAAATGAAAAGACAAAGTGATCTATTTTTTATATGTTATTTATCTAATTTAAAATTTTAGATTGTCAAAATTTTAAATCTTTGCATACTTTTTCCTATAAATAAATGTTTTTTCCCCAGAGAGCAACCCTAACTTAGGCTCTATTTTATATTACCATCCTTAATCACTCAATTTTTAGAAAACCACTTTCCTATTTGCCATTCCATTAGCATTGAACCAGTTATGCACTTTTCCATCCAATTCTCAATCCAACATATTATATTTTGATAATTTTGCCCTTACACATTTTTTAATTTATTAGATCTTTGGGTATTAGAGTTAAATATTCCAAATTATTTTTTATTTTAGCTTTGATACTAGAAAAGTGGGTGGAAAAAAGGCATGAATGGTTTTATGAAATGAAATGGTGGTTAGGGGCGGCTTTCCGAAACTTGAGTAATTTAAGGTAGTAACCTGTAATAGGATCTAAGTTACGGGTGGTTTCTTGAAAAAACCCCTAAATAAATTTAGTAAGTTCTTAGCTTTTCTATTTTGTAATTTATGGACAAGTGGTTAATGTGAATATTGAACAATTATCTATAACTTAATATAATTTCAAAAACTAATAATGTTTAATATACTTAAATAAAGTCTTAGCTTATATACATATTAATTAGGATAGAATTGGATAATTGAAGCTTATACTTATTAATTAGAGTTAATTAGAATAGGATAGGTTAGAATAATAATGTAATATCTAAAAAGATTAGCCGTATTTTTGTCCATGAAAAGTTTTTTTTCATCTGAACTCTCACTTTTAAAGGGGTATGATATGATTAATCATTAATCAGTACTTCCATTAGCTTTGGTGATGTCAATATCCGCTCTACCTTTCCCAGGGTTGAGTTGTGAAAATTGCAAACCTTTTTATGTTAATCTCTTATATTTGTAATGGATTAAATTTTGACATCAGTTTGAAATTAATTTTCCCACTCTTATAATTTCTTTAACGTAACCTTGAGAGAGGGCCGAATACGCTCCAGCATCAATAAATTCAGTCGCGTGGTTACCTAAACTTTTCAGCAATTGACTGTTGCAAAACAGAATTAATATTAGAGCTTCAGCTTCTTAATTGCGGTCATATCCTAAACAAGAAATTTGTACATTGATGCTCGTTCTTTTACCATAAATTAAGCTGCTTTTTTTTTTTATGGTTTGCTTCAGCTCACTGGAACTAGCCTGAACATAACCTGTTACAAATATCATTATAAAATCCCCCAATTAAAAAAAAAAGAAAAAGAAAAAAAGAAAGTATGCCCGAATGGAACGAAACGATCACGATGACCTGCCTGTCGGCGGCCTCAGCGACGAGCGGCAGCCTCGGGCAGGCGCCCACAGACTGCCGTCGCCCGAGCAATAGCGGAGCCCGACCCGTAGACCGAGTGCAGACGCCAGCGTACACAGAAGACGGTGCTGTCCAAGCTCATCAGCAGGCTGGAGCCCGACCCCCTCCCTCATCGCGCGCCGGAGGCTCCTCTCGACCAGGTCCGGTGAAGATGAGCGCACGTCAGGCGATGGGCCTTTTGCATTGGTTGTGTGGGCTGGAGAAACTAAGTCTCGTAGCGGATCACTTCCTATGTCTTGGAACGCGGGAGGGTCTGTTTGCGGACGACGGTCGAAGTACGAGGACGAGGAAGAGGAGAAGGAGTTGAGGGGCGGAAGGAGCGGGAAGAGGCCGATGAGGGCGGAGGAGGGGCGCGGGGGACCTGGAGGACGGGGGAAACTGGGCGAGAGGTAGCGGGCCGTAGCTGGACCGCGTCCGAGAACGGGTACGCACGGTAGCACGCGGCGGAGAGGAGGCGGTCGCGGCGGGGAAGGGGTTTGGTCGCGCCGTCGTTGGAGGACCTGGCGGGGGCCTCAAGTCGCGGGGGAGGAGGAGGAGGGCCCGGGCCGGGGCGGCGTGCCTGGGGCGATTTGCGATGGGAGGGGGGTTCAGGGCGGCGTGGCGCAGGAGGATCGGCCGGCTGCTTCTGTCTCATTTGGCTCGGTCGCGATAGCGGCGTTTCTGGGACGTGGGAGAAGAAAAGGAGTGAGGAGGGAGGAGGAGGAGCCTATTAATGGGGGTTAGTTTTGCTGCTTCTTCTTCTTCTCTCCCTCTTTCTCCCTCTCTCTCTCTCTCTCTTTTTGATTGTGTCGTGTGGGTGAGAGGTAGAGGGATGGGGAACGATAGTGGATGGGAGGCCAGTGGAGTAAAAGTGCGGGCCCTACACAAATATCTTGCCATCGAGCACCTTAGACTAGGGTGTGCAACTAGGGGTGTTATCGGAGCGGATACGGTTCGGATATGACGTTTACCATATCCATATCCGCTTTTTATAAACGGATACGGATACGGATACGGATCACCCTCGGTAAGAAAAAACCTTAACCATATCCGCATTTATCGGAAACGGGTACGGTTCGGATATTTGAGAATCGGATCGGATATGATCACGGATATAAACGGATATTCGACATAAATCTATTAGACATATAATCTTCATACAAAACCATCAATTGAAAACTAAAATTGAGCACAAACTTATTAGACATAATCTTCATCCAACGGCCTGAGAGTTACACAACAAATAAGTAAATATCAAGGTATTGTGTAATCGGACAATCAACAGACTAATTTTCTGTGTATAGAGGACAATTATATAATACCACAGGGCTATAAATAATTAATCATGCAATGCCTAGAGTAAACAGGTAAATAACACACAATTGCCCATCAATAGAGGTATCAATGTATCATGTATTTGGGTAGGCTAGCTGCCTTGCGAACTGGTTTGGGCTTGTTTATTTGCCTTTTTCTGAAAAATCGTGTATAAGGCATAAATATCTGTCAAGTATTTCTCGAGAAAATATTAAGATACATAGAGTGTTCTCAGAACCAATAAAAGATTAAGGAGCTACAGGATATTCCAAATTGGCAATTTAAGTCTTCAATCTGATACATTGCAATGGACTAACTGTCAACAATTTTTTCTAGATATTATTTCATTGTTCACATGTGGAGCAATCTTTGAGCTTCTCCAGTATAAGGTGCTTGTTTGTTTACAAGCAGAATTTAGTTCCTCAAAATCTATTGATTGCCAAAATCAAGAATTGTGTAATCTCACCACATTTTGTGATCGTAAATATGCCCAGCACAAGAAATCACAATTGAAGCTGTAGATTTCATCATTTCTAGTAGTTGCTCTATGATAAGGAGAAACTACTTGAGAACGGCGACAGGTGGGAGACTGAGATTGCCGAAAACCTAGATCCGAGAGTCTATATCACTTAGTCTCTATTGAGCTGCATTAACTTATTAAAGAAAACTTTGCATAAACTGATGAATTAATTTTTAGGTAGGGATCGTCGAAGTTCCATCAGATGCAATTGCTAACAAGACCTCGGATCCTAAAGTTGCATTACTTCAAATCAAAGTATCACAAGTGTAATGTGGCTGAAAAAGATGGCTTCGGAGGGAAAAAACTTGCTTGCTGATTTCTGAGCTGAGTTTGAGGGCCGGAGTGGACTGGAAAGTGGAGAGTGGAGAATCGTGGAGGACCTGGAGGTTGATGGAGAGTGGAGGCGGCCTGAGGGCTGAGGGTGAGGGCCTAGGGTTTTTTTTTTTTTATTTTTGGTTTTGGGTTAGCATTTTGGGTTAGTGGGTTTGTAACTATAAATTTGGGACCCGATTACCCGAATCACTATTACATTGCGGATATCCGTATCCGCAACCCTCTTATCCGTTACCGAATCCGTATCCGAAAAAAAATCCGAAACCATATCCGTATCCGTTACCGTATCCGCCCGGTTTCAAAATTAGCCTACCATATCCGCATCCGTTCGGATACGGATTCGGATCGGTTCGGATATATCCGAACCGTTTGGCACCCCTATGTGCAACGGTCCGGTTCGATTCTGTTTTTATCAAAATTTGAACAACCGAACCGAACCGTCTATAATTCAAAACCGAACCGATTTGTTGCAAGTCGGTTCGGTATAGTTCGGTTCAGTTTGTTCGGTTCTAACTTCATCAAACTTCTTATCAAACAACAAACTGTGTTAAAGAAAAAAAAGATATCAACAAAGTAGGAGATTATGAAATATTAAACACTGATATAATAATATTATTTTCAAACCATAATGATTCAGAAAATGAGTTTAGGGTTTGAGTCTTTGACTCTTTGGGGACGGGTCGGGTAGGGTTTGAAATGTCGGATAGGTGACATGAAGACGGAGGTGACGTGCTACGTCATCGACGCCGAACCCTCGTACAACATACTCCTGGGGTGTCCATGGATCCATGGCAATAGAATAGTCCCGTCCACGTTACACCAGTGCTTGAAGTATGTGGACAACTAGTTTGAGTCTTTGACTCTTTGGGGACGGGTCGGGTAGGGTTTGAGATCAGAATGGGTAGTATTGCACTAAATTCGGTCGGTTCGGTTGAAAAGTTTTCAAACCAACCCGAACCGCCCTACTCATAAAACCGATTTTTTCGGACCGGTTCGGATCGGTTCGATCGGTTTTTTTAGTTTAGACCGAACCATACTCAGCCCTACCTCAGGCCAACACTAGTTTTAGGCGTAGACTGGGACCCGGTTTGGTGTAACCGGAGCTCATAGCAAGCTGGTTATGCAAGCAAAGCCAGCTGTATAACATGAGTTACTCTCCAAAGTTTGTTAAGGTGTTTGGTAAAACTGCCGTTTAATTATCGTCACAAATAGGCAAGATAATTTTAGGAGAGATGAATTAATAATGTCAAAAACTAAATGGTGTATCCTGCATAAAAACTTGCTATTTAGTATTTTGAGCTTATTGATTTTTTTTTTTTTAAGTGTCGCTAATTTTTAAATTTATATGTTACAAAAATAAAAAAAGAATGAAATATCCACAATTCAATAAAAGAAGTATAATATCATTGAAAATATTAGTGCATTATGGTGCAAGCCTTCCATGTTTGTGTTTTTTACTCGTGTGTTGCATATATTATATATACAACGTCGTCATAATTGTAACGTACACTATAAAATTATGATTTATGCAATTGTTCCTTTGGTCCAACTCTAGAAGTTGTAATATATAAATTAAAAATACGACTATTTAACGTTAGGGAACCAGTTTTATGGGGAAAAGATGTTTAAGGAATTAACCACGTTTGCTATATCCACTCCCAAACAGTAACTTTGGGAGTGGGATTGCCGAAAATGCCCTTTTGTGTGTGCAATAAATTTTTACTTTTGTGTGAGCATTAAATTGGTGTGTTCAAAGTATCCGGTTGGCTTCCAAAAATTTGTACATTTAATGTGGACTATTGATTAAATGTGGTACCGGATTGGCATTGTATTCTTGCCATTTAATGTTGGCAAGAAAATTTATGCACCAATTTAATAATTTTCGAAAACCGGATACTTTGAACAATATAATAATTTTCGAAACCGGATACTTTGAACACACTAATTTAATGTTGGCAAGAAAATTTATGCACCACATTTTCAACAATTGATGTATTTCGCCAAATTTTCAACAATTGATTTTCTAATAAATTTTGTGTGTGCATTAAATTAATGTAATTTTGTGTGTGCATGAAAATGTGGTGCATAAATTTTCCCCATAGATTAATACTACGGGGATTTTTATGCACCACATTTTCAACAATTAATGTAATTTTGTGTGTGCATAAAATTTTCCGGTGGTGAAAACGGTAGAAAAATTGGTGAAAATGTGGTCAAATCGATTTTATGGTGTCCGGTTGGCTTCGAATTCCGATTTTGAATTTTTATAACAATTTTCATTTCCAATACAATTTACACAAATTACATAAAATCATTTTTTTCAAAAATAAATTACACCACTCAGAATTTTTTACTAATTTGATTTGAGCACTCAAAATGTCAAAATTGATTTTGACCCCTTAGATTTTTACCTATAAAAAGGCCAACAGTTTAAGTTTTTCAAATCACACTCACAACTCAATCACTTACAATTACAATCACAAACAATATGAATTCTGGAGATTACAACTCCATAAATCTTGATGAAGTTGAATTCGTCATCGACGAAACACAAAGTGATCCATTCCAGGATCATAGTTCATATGTAGAGTTTGAAGACATTTCAACCGATTTCGGTAATCCGGAAGGAGGTTTTGCTAGTAGAGAGGACATGGATGCTCATGTAAGATATGTTGCTGGCTTGAGGAACGTTACTTTGGCAATTCGTGATTCGAAGGGAAAAGACGGCCGACGGCCCAAAGTTCGATATTTATGTAGCCAAGGTGGCGGATACAGACCAAAAAAGGTTACTGGAACTAGGTCCACTAAAACGACAAAAAATAATTGTCCATTTTGGTTGGACGGAATGGAGTACCCTGGAGGGCGCTGGTACTTTGAAGTCCGGGAGGGGAGACACAACCATCCATTCCCGTCTCATGCTGTGGGATCTCGTTTAGGTAAAATATCCCCTATTCAACTTGAAGTTATTAGGGAGCAAGAGAATTTTAATTTAAGCCCGAGTAATATGTTGGCGTCCATGAAAAGGGCTGATCCGGAGAACAAATCGTGTCAGAAACAAGTTTACAATGCTGTCAGTAAGGTGCGTGCCCAGAAAAGAGAAGGTCGGACCCCGATGAATAATTTCATCCATTTACTCAGGCAATTGAACTACATGTACGACGTTCGGACTGCTGATGAATCTTCCGAACTTGGAGATATTGTTTTCTGCCACCCGGCTTCTTTTGTGATGGTGAATGCATATCCGGAAGTCATGATGATTGATTGTACGTACAACACCAATGAGTATGACATGCCTCTACTAGAAGTGGTCGGTGCAACAAGTACGGACAAAACGTTCACTATCGCCTACGCATTCATGCGAAATGAGAGACAAGAAAACTACAGGTTTGTGTCTTAATGAATTTTAATTTTTGTCATATGTTTAAATTTAAAATTGTTAATTAACATTATTTAGTACAATTGTTTGTCAATGTTATGAATAATGTTAAATTGAATATTTAGGAGGAGTTAATATTGTTATGAACATTATTAGTATTGTTTAATTAGGAGTTATTATTTTTATGAACATTATTAGAATTGTTTAATTAGGAGGAGTTATTATTTTTATGAACATTATTAGAATTGTTTAATTAGGAGGAGTTATTATTTTTATGAACATTATTAGAATTGTTGAATTAGGAGGAGTTATTATTTTTATGAACATTATTAGAATTGTTGAATTAGGAGGAGTTATTATTTTTATGAACATTATTAGAATTGTTGAATTAGGAGGAGTTATTATTTTTATGAACATTATTAGAATTGTTGAATTAGGAGGAGTTATTATTTTTATGAACATTATTAGAATTGTTGAATTAGGAGTTATTATTTTTATTGGAACGTTATTAGTATTGTTTAATTAGGAGTTATTATTTTTATGAACATTATTAGAATTGTTTAATTAGGAGTTATTATTTTTATTGAACATTATTAGTATTGTATAATTAGGAGTTATTATTTTTATGAACATTATTATATTGTTATTTTTTTATTGTTATATTGTTTAATTAGAACTTATTATAGTATTATTAGGAGTTGTTACTGTTATGAAAATTATTATATTGTTTAATTAGGACTTATTATAGTATTATTATTGTTATTAACATTGTTATTGTAGTATTGTCATTAATATTGTTATTATGTTAATTTGTTGTTATAAATTACAATTGACAATTATTTAGTACAGTTATTTTGTCCTACGTTTAAATTTAAAATTATTAATGTTATATTATTTTGCAGGTTTGTGTTACAGTTTATCCGTACTTTGTTCGTTAGCCAAGTGACACCTAATGTCATTGTAACAGACCGAGATTACGCCTTGATGCATGCTGTCGAGTATGTTTTCCCGGAATCCAGGCATCATTTGTGTCGCCGTCACATTGAGCAATGCGTGCTACAACGAGCACTGCAGCAACCTGGTTTTTTAAAAGAGGCGGCAGAAGGATTTAAATTTCGTTGGAATTGGGCGATAAGTGCACCGACCATAGATGACTTTAATGATAGATGGGGACGTCTGGCAGCACATTACTCGAGTTGGGGAGCATTGCTGAACTACTGCATTGACACATGGATTAGTCCGCATTCCCAAAAAATCCTGTCAGCTTACATCGACCATTATTTTCACTTCGGAAGCTACACAACAAATAGGTAAGCCTTGTGAGATTTACGTGACTAAATAATCGTTACATGTAGTCAACATTAATAATTAATATTCAAGTTCAATTGGTAATGCAGGGTCGAAGGAGAACATCATCGCGTCAAACGACATTTAGATGGTGGTCGGTACCCATTCGATACCGTACTGGAGAAACTTCACAAGGTGATGGAAGGCCAAATCTGTGAGATTAAGAAAGTAGCGAGAGTTAACGCTACTAAATCCAACACAGACACCCTTGGAGATACGTTGTTTGTTAATCTGAACAGATCAATCACGTTTAAAGCATTCGGCCTCATAAGGAAAGAAATGCAAGTTTTACAAGAAATGGGTCAGGATCCAACAACGTGTGGTTGCTACCTAAGGAGAACTCATGGTCTACCGTGCGCACATGAGCTTCAGTACTACATCATAAATGGGTATAGCATTCCGTTGGATCAAATACATGATTATTGGAAAAAGTTAGATATTCAGTTTCCAATATTTCCTAATGATGCCGCGGATGGATCCCCGACTCCACCAAATCCAGTGAGGAGGGCGTTGTTCGAAGAAGTCCCTGATATTACTGCACCTCCTACTGCTAAAAAGAAAACCAAGGGTAAAAAGCTCTCTAGTCTCCGTGTACCTTCGGCGTGGGAGAGGGTTGTGAAACAGTACGGATTTAAAAAGTCTCCAAACAAAAAGGTAATACTACATAACTTATGAATTTCTATATTTGAAAATTATGATTTATATTAGTTACTAATTTATTATTCTCAATTTAACATTGTCAACCTATGCATTTGTAAAGGGCCCTGGACGTGTTGCTTCTATCTCTGCATCACAGGGGAGTCCAATGAGCACATCCCAACGTACGGGGCCACCAGTATCACCATCTTCTCCAAATCCTCCGTGCTCAAGGCCTCCAATGTCAACCCCTTCTTCCAAAGGCACCACGTTCATCTTTAAGAATTCTGTATTTGAGAGAGAATTCCCGCCCTACATTAGAAAATACATAGATCAATGCACAGATGTAGCGGCAGACGGAAATTGTGGATTTAGAGCGGTGGCTCTAGCAATTTACGGAACAGAAGATGATTGGGTTAAAGTTAGACAAGACTTAGTAGCAGATCTACAGAATAGAAGCGCCTTGTACGCTCGAATCTTAGGTGGGAGGAGTGCGAGGAGTTCTAATGTGACTAATCTCATCCAATCGATTGCTCACTACCATGGACCAGCGGATGATGATTACTGGATGGCGGTACCGGATTGCGGTCACGTAATTGCAACAACATATAATGTTGTTTTCATGACATTCAGTGAACATGGAGGAAATACTTGTCTGCCAGCGATATTAGATGAAACACAAGGACCTCCAACCCGAAAGGTGGTGTGCGGACATCTTAGCAATGATCATTGGATTTTGGTAAGAAAATTACACTAGTCGACGATCATATAAACAAGTTGAATTTTAACTTTAATTTTTTATATAAGAATATAACTTTAATATTTGTACATTTTTTTCCAGTTGCATATGAAACCAGGGGATCATCCGGTACCACCCATAGCATTTTACTGGAACGACCATCACGACAAATCTGCAGATGGTTTAGATGCACAATTTGCATTCTCGATCGGTCACTTTAACCGTCTCCACAATGAAGATGGAGAACGTCGAGCAGCAACAAGAAGAAGAAAGAACAATTAATTAGGATCGAAAAAACAATTGATGTATTTCGTTGAGTAGATTAATACTTTGATTTTCTAATAAATTTTATTATTATCCTTCATTATAGTCTAACACTTCAAACATTTCAAACACTTAAACAAATTTTATTAACGATTTTAAAAATTCAAATTATATTAAAATTAAACCAACATTTATATATGTTCTAAAAAAATTAATTTTTTTAATAACACTTCAATGATTTTTTATGACCCACGGATTATAATGGATTAATTTTTTTTATAACACTTCAATGATTTTTTTAATAACACTTAAAAAAAATTTTATGACCCACGGATTATAAACCGACACGGATTATAGTCTAACACGGATTTTAAATACACAATTAAAATGGAATTAGTTAATAAAACAAAATAAAAAAAAAAAAAAAATTTATAACCCACCGGACTGTTTTTTTATTAATATCGCTGAAAACAAATTTAATTGTTTTTTTATTAGTCTAACACGGAATTAGTCTCCATGACCTTAATGAGAAGTCTCCATTTTTGTTCAACACCTTGTTTTTTTGAAACAGTTAAATTGACCTTGTTATTTTATTTAGGGGTGGGCAAAAACCGAAACAAACCGGTTCAACCGAAAAAACCGCCCGAAAAAACGGATCGGTTAACCGAACCGAATTAAATGGATGAGAAGAAGTCTCTAAACCGCCCGAACCGAATTAAACCGGTTTGGATCCGGTTTGAACCCCTGAACCGCCCAAAAAAAACCGAACCGAATTCTTAAACAAAAAGTAGCTGCGAGCCTTGGGTGTGAAGAAAATTTATGGCTGAATGTTTAGCATTTAAGAATTGTGGGGTGGAGTTTATACTAACATATATTTGAGTACGCTGATATAGTTAAGTGAGATTTCCGTAAATCAATACAAGATGTTGAGGTTGAAGGATAAATTTAGTGTTTTGGTCAAATTTCAGTGATAACATGAATACAGCTTGCTGGTGCTGGATATCAAATTAACCTATAGTATAGGCTGTCAAGGATATAAGATAATTCTTGATGAGAAAAAGGCAGCTAAAAATTAACGAAAATCATCAAAAGGTGTGTGTGCCTGCCAAACATTGTTCTTTCTCTAAAAAAGGCTACATAATTACATGGTCCTCCTAGTGTATTAAGCTAGTTATATTCAGATCATACAATTTGATTAAGTGGCTTAGTACAGTTTTGATTGTTTCTTTTCAGTTTTGATTGCTTCTTTTCAGTTTTGGATATAACTAAAACTTACCCAGATTTTAGTGAAATGGAGTTAATTCGGTTCAAAACCGAAACCGAACCGAACCGAATTTCGGTTGGGCCGAATATTCGGATGAAGGGGAAAAAATCTGGATCTGGATGAGAGTTTTGAGAATCCGAAAAATTCGGATTGGATGCGGATTGGGCTTAAAACCGAACCGAACCGAATACGCCCAGCCCTAATTTTATTAGTCTAACACGGAATTAGTCTCCATGACCTTAATATCGCTGAAAAAACAGTACGGAATTAGTCTAACACGGAATTAATATAAAAAACAATTAATAAAAAAACAAGGTCAATTAAACAAAAAGTATTGTGGACTCAAAATTAATGAACCGAATTAATGAACCTTAATGAGAAGCATTTAATGGTCGATGTAAGCTTAATTAACAATAAAGGGCAATTTCGTCCATCCACCACCCAAAGTTACTGTTTGGGAGTGGATATAGTTGGATCCGGAATTAACCAGTAAAATAATAATATTGTACCATGTATTCAAATCAACTTTCTTGGATGAATCATTGAATCGAATCAAATTTCTTGGATGAGATACACTAATTGCAAATACACAATACAAGCACATGTGACAACAACCAAATTGGGATAAAAGTGCGTTTGATGTTAAATTTAACATTCAATTGGCGTTCAAGAATAATATCAAACCATAAGAGTATACAATAAGTGATATCAACTTTAATAATCATTTAAATAAGCCACGTTTATGGCATCCGCGTTTTAAACTATATAAATCCTCTAGATAAACATTAGAGAGAACAACACTAGTTTTAGGCGTAGCCTGGGACCCTGTTTGGTGTAGCCGGAGCTCATAGCAAGCTGGTTATGCAAGCAAAGCCAGCTGTATAACATGAGTTACTCTCCAAAGTTTATTAAGGTGTTTGGTGAAACTGCCGTTTAATTATCGTCACAAATAGGCAAGATAATTTTAGGAGAGATGAATTAATAATGTCAAAAGCTAAATGGTGTATCCTGCATAAAAACTTGCTATTTAGTATTTTGAGCTTATTGATTTTTTTAAAAAAATAAAAAGTGTCGCTAATTTTTAAATTTATATGTTACAAAAATAAAAAAAGAATGAAACATCCCCAATTCAATAAAAGAAGTATAATATCATTGAATCAAATATTAGTGCATTATGGTGCAAGCCTTCCATGTTTGTGTTTTTTACTCGTGTGTTGCATATCTATTCTTTTATACAAAAGGGAGAAACAAAGAGCTACTGTTCATGCTACAGTAAATTTACTGTAGCAGTATTACTGTAGCAGCTGAGAAATCTAAAAGGCGCTGTAGCAGATCGGTTACTGTAGCAGCTCGGGAATGACACTGTAGCAGGCGAGTTACTGTAGCATCGCAGAAAATTCAATCCGTGCGAGTTTAAAAACGGCGAGAACACTGTAGCAAAAAAACACCGTGCGTAGCACGGGCTGCACACTAGTATTATATATACAACGTCGTCATAATTGTAACGTACACTATAAAATTATGATTTATGCAATTGTTCCTTTGGCCCAACTCTAGAAGTTGTAATATATAAATTAAAAATATGACTAGTTAACGTTAGGGAACCAGTTTTATGGGGGGGAAAATGTTTAAGGAACCAGTAAAATAATAATATTGTACCATGTATTCAAATCAACTTTCTTGGATGAATCGAATCAAATTTCTTGGATGAGATGCACTAATTGCGAGTACACAATACAAGCACATGTGACAACAACCAAATTGGGATAAAAGTGCATTTGATGTTAAATTTAACATTCAATTGGCGTTCAAGAATAATATATCAAACTATAAGAGTATACAATAAGTGATATCAACTTTAATAATCATTTAAATAAGCCACGTTTATGGCATCCGCGTTTTAAACTATATAAATCCTCTAGATAAACATTAGTGATGTTCATACTTAACAAACACAGGAACTATCTATTGTTGGACAGGGGCATAAGAACAAGAAGTAAAAAAGAAAACATAAAAATGAAAAACAAAATACTACATAGAAACATCAATCCTCTTCACTCGCCAAAAAGCCACAATATAATTCATGCACAAAAAGAAAACATAAAAATGAAAAACAAAATACTACATAGAAACATCAATCCTCTTCACCCGCCAAAAAGCCACAGTATAATTCATGCACAATAAGAAATACATTTGAAACTTCATAATATAAACGACGTTACATAAATTTGCAATAGTTTATACATATTTTGGTACTATATTTTAGACTTACATTGGAAACAATATTTTTTACATAACAAAATCAATCGAAGTCTCACTTGTAAGCTCAAATTTTAAAAACATAAAAGGCAGGTAAATCTCTCATAACTGAGCCGACCTACTGGTTAAAGTTACTTGCATTATAATCATATACTAATCCGGATCTTGCTCTATTTTGGTTCTTAATGTCTCATCCATGATTACTTGAAATATTAGGAAAAAAAATCAAAAAATTTAGTTAAAAGTACATACCTTTTCCACAAATTCCTCCTCCTTTTGCTATCAAAAAAAAAAACTCCTCCTTTCATTCAAAATCCTAAAATTTCTTGAAAATTCAAAACAAACCATCTCAGAACACCAACTAAAGAATAAAACATTAAAAGGAAAAAAATGCTTCCTGTTATATTAGGACAATTATGGATATAAAATTACGAGGACCACACAAGTTTGCTTATTAGATAGTATAGTTAATGTAAAGAAAAGAAAAGGACTATAAAATGAACCTGTAGATACGCCCTTGGTTAGAATGCTTGTAGCAAATAGAGTTGCATTAAAATAGTTTTTAAAAAAGCTAGATATAGATCAAAAGAATCCTTTATCAATTATCATTCTCAAAAAAATTCAAAAAATGTTAATTACTCTTATTGAGAAATATAATTTTCTTGATTAATATATAAGAAGAAGAAGAAAAAGACTATAACATACCTGCTCATGTCAAATGGGAGTGTAAATGCAACTGAATGTGAAACCTTACAAATTTAAATGAGAATTTTCAATTAAGCTTGTGCACAGACATTAGAAGAAATTAGTACAATTAGAAATCCATTAAAACCTTACGAAAGATATGTAGAAAACCACATAAAAGAGAAATCAAATTCTAAAATATTTGTGTGGGTCGGTGTGTGTGTGTGGGTGGGGGGGGGGGGGGGCACATTTCAGCTAAAATTTCTCCTAAGCAATCAGTGAGTTTTAATTTTTCACCTAAAAGTAGTAGAAGCTTGTTACATAAAAACAATTTCTTCTTTTCAGATAGCATCGTGTTCTCTTCAAAGATCATAAAAAAATATATTCCCCAGAAAGATATTTAAACCTGCAAAATTAAATAGTTTCAAGAAGATACATAGCGCCCCATCCATCTTCCATTTAAACTTGCAAAAATTCACACGATCAAAACTATTATCCAAAACTACCCAATTACCAGAAAGCCAATGATTTCTTCATGAAGGATACATCAGATTGGAGTTTAGAGACTGAATGTTTCAAGAAGTATGAACATCATGCTTTTCGAGGGAAACTAAGTCGTATATCATAATTTAGTCCCCTACCGCCTCTAGGAGAATGTCGCGTGCAAAATCTAAGCTAGAAATCAACGGTAAAGATGAAATATGTAAATGTAATAACAACCTAGGAATCCAAATTGGAAACAAATTTTATCAGAAGTCTGTATCAAAAGAATATCTCAAGCCTTAAAGAATTCATATAATTGTTAATTCAACAGTCTCAAATATCCTCATCTAGGAGGTAGCTCAAATGTAGCATAATCCATATCTACCAAGAAAAATGGCCAGTTACTGGAAACATAGCGGCAAAGGTCAAAAGTATCAGATTCAACCATCTCAAACAACAAAACTGATAGAATCCTAATCCAAAAAGAAACTTTGAATCAAACCCATGTGAATTCCCATCGAACATATCTGAAGAAGTCTGAAATTGATGTTGAACAAATTCCAGAAACTGATATTCTCTCTGGAGAGTTTCTAAGAAACATTGATATGGTTGAGGAGTTTTGTACTAAATTAAAGTTTAATATGTGATTTTTCTCCTTGCATTCAAATCCTTGAATTGCAAGCACACTCTTTGTTTAAAAATATTTGTAAAAAATGAGTGATAACAACACAAACATACATACAAATGTAACTCCATACTTCCTTTAACAAAAAAATTGCAATAAATTATCAATCAAAGACTTATGCCATTAGACTCCTATTCTTCTCCTTTAAATTAAAATTTAAGTTTGAACATTGGACAAGGTATTTTGGGAAAATCTTTGGGATATTAAAGTTAAAAATGGTGTCAACTTTGAGTAATTAAATATATTAACCCAGAGAACATAGCCAAAAGTAGAAAGAATATAACCTAGGCAACAACGACAAATCCAAAAGGAGAAAGAATATAACCTAGGCAACAACGATAAACAAGATACTTCCCCAAGAATGACACAATAATACATCATGAATAGGAATCCAGTATACATAGGAGAACATTAATCCACATGAATAAAACAGTTAATACAGAAACACTCATGGATACTTCTGAAACTACCGAACACCATGAAACGGAAACTTCTCATATGAATGGAAGCCTGAAACAAAAGCAGCTTCACAATTTGCTAATCGAAGCCTCAACGAAACAATAGAAGCAGAAAGTGAAAAGAATACCCCCCAACGTTCAGTCTCAAAGATAATTAAACTCATGTACATTTGTCCTCCGAGACAAAGGTGAGGGCAAAATAGAATAGGAACTAGAGAATAAGAGGGAAGATCAACTGTTATCCAATCTCCGCCTCTTTAGAGCTTGTTCTGATTCCTCACCGCTGCTCCCAACTCTATAATGATCGATAGCTGATCGATTTCCAGATAGGGGATCAACAAGTTCCTGGAAGAATTATGAGGAAGTGACGCACATGATATGCAAATATGAAATACATGATGACAACACACATAAAGGACATTAATTATAGGGTTAATTGCACATAGGACACATGTCATATGGCGTTTCTTAACTTATGACCCCTGTTGTTTCATTTTGGCAGCAGATCCCATGAATGAACTTTTTGACTCTTTTACTGCTGAAAGTAAAAAAGCAATTTCACTTGGGATACAAGAACATGCTGGTAACGACTGAGAAGTCATTAAAAAAAAATTTCACCCAAGGGTCTATCTGCCAAAATGACTGCAGGGATAATAAGTTGTAAAAAAATCATACTGCAGAGGGTCTATGTGCAATTAACCCTATAAGAGAGAGGCGCTATTGCAACACAGTTTTCTCTTTCCCATTCAGGCTGGAAAGGAACAAGTATGTTCCCATAGCTGGAAGGAATTCGGGCCATATCCTGATTGTGCAAATGACATAGGTGAAGCTTAATACCAAAAGGGCAGATAACTTCCTCATCCATAGTTTTACTAGTAACATCATTATTACCCTTTAATTAGTGGGGGAAGAATGCCGTCTGCAATTTACCCTTCTCAGATGCCAACCTCAAGGGTGATAAGTGCTATAAACGACTTTAGGGGTGCTTAGTGCTACTAAAGGTATGGATGAAGGAGGTTATCTGCAAGTCACCCTTACCAACAAGAAGATGCAAATAGCAAAAAACAACAAAAGGTAGATGTGCTTTCATCTGCTTTGAGTTCTTGAACTTTCAGTAGTTGATGGGAGCCATTGTGAACATGAAACTTTTGTGTAAATGAAGGTCGAATTATATCAACTAAATCCAGGTCACATACGACAATATTATAGAGACCTCTATTGATTTTGAAATGATTTTCTTAACTAGATCAAGGTCACAAATGAAACAAATGATTGATGTTTAACTGATGTAAATGAAAACAAGACGAACATCAGATTACTTCCAACAAGAAACTTTACCTTAGCACTAGACATAGTGGTGGCAGTAGCTCTCCTAGGTGCTCGCTTGCCCAGATTAATCTGTACAGAGATGTTGGCTTGAGACAGATCTATACCAGAGCTCGCAAGTGCCTGATTTAATGCATTCAACATACTGCACCATAGGAAAGGAATATTTATTATTTAAGCATAAACGTTCATCTCAAGCTTAAGTAGATCAACAGAGATCTTTTTGAAATAGATCCTCAATCAATGAAACACATTCCCCCAACCAAATCGTTCAAAGAAGCAAAAGAATGTAACTTATAAGACAACAGAAGCGGAAAAAAAAAATTCTTAGACGAACAAAAACGTACTTCTGAGAGTAAGCAGTAGAGACATTAATTGTGCCTTCATCAATAGTCAGCTCCTCTTGTTCATTAGACATTTCACCACTCTCACTGCAATCGACAGGACCTGAGGGTCTCAACCACTGAGACTGTGACTGAGAAGCTAAGCTATCTATATCTGAGATCAACCTCTGCTGAGGCTGGCCAACACTAGTCTCTCTTTCAAGAGAAGCATAATTTAATTGTGAAGGAATGGGGGCTGAAGAGGCCTTGCTTGTAAAGGCAACAGGATTTTCCACAGTTTTATATAATACACCACCAGCACTAGTGTCGGATTCTAAGGGATTCTGAGCAGTTGAGATCATTCCTGGTGCTGCTGGAACTCTGTCGTCATCAACAGAGTAAATGAATCCTGGACTGTGACCATTTTTTGTGACCTGGTTGGTATTCTGCTGCAAATAAAGAAAAGATGGGTCACACCTCTTAAGTAGAAGCATCATTAGTTAATTTAGCGAAGAATGAAAAACATCCTTATCATGGCATGTATCTAATTGTCCTTGTCTTTTGTTTTGGAATTATTATACGAATTAAGACAATAGGTACCCGTAAATTTTTCCACAATAATCTAAAATAAACATTTACCTGCTAAACATTGAAAATAAAAGTAAATAAATAATGACTTCTTTTAGAAATGACTAAAGACACCCAGAGTTGCTGGGACCAGATCAAAATATTCTTAAAATTGTTGGAAAATATTTGCACAAATCGTTACCACACTAAAAACACATTGATCAAGATCATTAAAAAAACAAAGGTGCTATACAAATTATATTAAACGTAACAATGGTTCAGTTGAAACAAGATGAAATCTATGTATTATGTTGGTGAACGTGTCCTTTATTAGCTTTGATCAAATGATAGCAAATTTCTACTCTAGATGACCATTTAAGATTAACAGCATTGGAAAAAAGATGTCTCTACTTCTGCGGTGCATCAAAAGAAATTAGGACGAGATCCAATTTGATAAGAGCTGAAGATATATCTAGCAACATACCTCAAAAAGATGTAAACATACCAGGAAGTCAAAATAATTGAAACATCAGAATTATGACCAGAAAAATAAACTGATGGTTCGAGGATTAAGTCGAGTGGCATACTAACATATCAGACATACATGTAGTGTTTATCAATAGTTAGGAAAAATTACCCATGGTGTTAATTTGGCATTTTCATCACTCCATCCTGGGTATGAAGACTCATATTTGTTGACCTTCTCTTGCAAAAAACGGATATATTCTATAACCTACATAATGACCAGAGAGTTAACAAAATATCACCACAAAAAAACCAACTGCACCACTCTTCTATTGAGTTTTCTAACTATCTCCAATCTTTACCTCCAAAAGGAATGATGCCTTATCCCTCTTTTGATCGCTATTTGGTATGAGGTCCCGAAGTATCTGAAACCTGCAAGAAAATGTTCTTTCCATCAGAATCATAAAATATAGTTTGATAATAACAACTAATGCAATTAGGGTATGTGTTTTATGTTCCAGAAATTTAAGAAGCAAACAGTGTTTGATCAAGTCTCAAGATAAGCAGTGAATTGTGAATGGACAAGATAAAGAAAAGCCTTCATTGGGGTAAAAGCCACTGCTTCCTGTACTGCCTTAAAAAGTAGGAAAACAATGGATGATGGAGAAACTTTAATAAGCAAAACCCATGGCAACTGACCAAGTTTTTAACATCTATGCGACTCACTAGGCGCCAAGATCCTGTCCAAGCCAACTAACGCAAAGGGTGGATTTGAATAAACTGATTATAGGTAGATCAGATCCACCAGTCAGTCATATAGTTTAAGCACAAGCCATCACAAATTTCTCTGAATTGCGAAAACTTGGTATGCATTTTGTGCAAGATAATTTTAATATTTTGGTAGTAATGACCAGTGTACTTGCAAAGGAAGTGTTCGATTTTGACTCTTGTGGCAAGGGACTCTTATTATTTTGCAAACTTGTATGTATAGCCTTTTTTCCCTCTAAGGTTAGATATGTTTGTATCTTCTGAATGCTGTACATTCTAGTTATGTGCTCCTGAGAGTGCATAAAATTTTATAATGTGCTAACATTAGCTTCAGCTGAAACTTCCAGGCCCCCAAGTATTGCTTCTATTTGGTTGGACTATAAGCTGGCTATAAGCTATGTTTGGCTTAAAATGAATGTATGCTATTTCAAGCTCACGACTGTAATTATTCGTTCGACTATGAATATCCAACTATAGGAAAAACACTAGAAAGTTAACTTATTGGTAACATAATGTCTACTTACATGTGCTGAGGAAATAATAAGAACCATTAGATAAAAAGGATTCATATAAACTTCAGAATTATGATCAAAGTGTTATTAAGAATAACCAATGACAGTTCACACACGAGATATTGTAGATTGAAACCAGTAACAGAATTAGAAAAGTGTAAATCAAGCACCTCTAAAGAACTTGGTCCCTTTTCAGTGTCACTCTATCCCAATATCATCTAGTTCAACCGAGAAAACTAATAATTTAGAGGCTTCCCAAGGTGATTAGCTAAAAATTGACAAAACAGAAAAAAACCTACGGAAATCAAAATACAAACGGAGAGGTGACGTGAAGCTTCATTTTCATGGATATCAAAAATCCAATTGGTGTTTTATGATAATAAAAAAAGTCTCTTTCCTCCCAAATTGATATTGAGTAACATGTTACTGCATAACCCATTTTCAAAGAGTGAAACTTGATGATGTGCAATTCATGTGAAATTCCCTCTTGCAAGTTACTAGATTTTATCAGTTAAATTTCAAGTAAAAGAGTTTGTATTGTAACAAAAGATATTGCTTTAAACCCCAAAATTGGCGGAAAAAGAAAACTTGCCTATCATTGATTTTGCTTCTCCGCCTCTGCTCTGTAGCAGAATGCTTCGACCGCGGAGTCATCGCCTTCTGATCATGTCCTCCTTTACCATCAACTTTAACAGCTAACTCCACTGCAAAATTTGAAAAACCAAAAAAAAAAAAAAAAAAAAAAAAAAAAAATAACAAAAAAAAAAAAAAAAAAAAAAAAAACTAAATTCGAAACAAAATACAAAAAATCAGTAAAAAGGGAGCTAAAAGCAGAAAAAGAACCAACCTTTCCTCGAAATTCCCTCTCTCTTCCCGAACTCCTCGTCATCGTCGTCTTCCTCGTCGAAACCCCTACTGGATCTCGACCCCGAATCCATGAACCTCTTCTTATCCTGCGCCGATTGACTCCTGTAATAATTTTTGCAACCTAATTAGTTAGCCTCGAAATTGAAATTATGCAGAAAATCCAGAAGAAAAAGAGAAGGATGCAAAGTAAGGAACCTGGTGGCGGCGCGGGCGACGAAAGGCGATGGCCAGTGACCTGAGATATAAAGAAGACGAACGGGGCTGAGGTTTTGTTTTTTCTTTTTTGATGATTTCTTTCTTTCTTAATTAATAATACTATTAATTAATTAATTCCAAAGATGAGTTAATTATTCAACAGATGTGGGCATGTGGGCGTAGGCTAGTAGGATGCGCACCGTAAATATTTTTTTTCTATTTCCGGGTATTTTGTATTTTGATAAAGGGGATCTTGGTTTGTGTGACAGTTTTGACAGATAGATGTGCATGCAAAAATCCACTTTTATCGTTAGGCCCACATGGAACAAAGGTTCTCCAATCATTAGGGTCAGCTTATCATGTATTTTGTATGAATATTTACTTTTTGTGTGAGTATATCATGTATTTTGTATGAATATTTACTTTTTGTGTGTGTATATCATGTATTTTATATTAGTATTAGCCACTAAAGTGCATTGGTAAAAAAAAAAACCTTGTTACACCGGGTTAGATTGTTCAAAATTTTAATTGACACTGTTTGGGAGCGTTCTTGATAAAAAATTTAGAGTGAAAAATAGTTTTCTGATAACCCCTAAAGGGGTTTTCTGATTTCGGAAGTTATGGACAGTTATCTGATAATCGTCCAAATCTAAGGGGCTATTTCTGATATTTACCTAAGGGAATTCAACTGGGCCTTTGTTTAGGACCCCGACCAAGTTTCTAACAAAAGCCCAGTACGAGATCCACTTCCTCAAGGAAACAAATTATTAAGCGGCACACGGACCCACACCGCCCATCTTCTCACCTAGGTGTCTCCGTCAGAGAGCAAGGCCCCACAGGCTAACTAGCAACAGCATAAGTATCACACCAACATCAACATTTTTTTTTTCCATTTTTCTGGATGATGGGAAACCTCGGTTAGTTAGAGCTACGCCTAGGTAATTAGCAAGAGTTTGCACCAGAACAGACTCAGCATAAGTTTTAATTTTCAAAATCGACTCACTTTTTTTTACAAAAATCGACTTACTTTTTGTCACGTCAGCTTAATCTCATTCTTAAACAGTCAGGATTGACAACCCCGACTGTTTAGGAGGTTGTTAAACCTCAATTAGAAGCCTTAAACCTGATTTTTTTTATGTCCTAAATAGACAACCCTGACTAATTAAAAAATAAGATTAAGCTGGCGTGGCAAAAAGTGAGTAGATTTTTGTAAAAAAAATGAGCCGGTTTTGAAAATTAAAACTTGATTTGAGTCTGTTTTGAAAATTTCTTCTATTAAGGAAGCGTGGTCATGTTACTTCGGTGGCAGGGCACCCGCTCCGCCAACAATGACCTCCAGTTGACCAAATAAAAACATGGATCCCCACTAACCGCGATGCTCACTAATAGGGAACAGTTGAGTGAATCCATCGGGAAATTCACTCGCCTTCCCACGCGAGCACCCCGCACCCTCATGACGCGTGCCTATCACGTGACCGACACGTAACAACCACGCCCTCGACTAACCAGCGAAGATCGGGCTTTTTTACCTCTGTATCCGTTCTCCTTCGTGTCCCAAAGCGCGAATCCCGCACCCGCATGAAGCCCGCCACCGGGTTCACGAGCGCACGTGACGAGCTGTGCTTCACCGGCCGCAGGCGAACCTTTCTCTGGCACGTGGCTTAGGCTGAATGTTCCGATCCCACCGGGAAGCACGTGCGCCGCAGTCGCCGCGCGATTCGTGGGCCCCGGCTGTTGGGCCGGATCCGCCTCCTCCTCTGGCTTTTCCAGCGGTTTGAGGAAGTCGTGGGTCTTGAGATAAAACCCTGTAATTGACGAGAGTTAACGATAATTAAGATGATTATATTAACGACTGGAGGAAAATGTCATGGATTATGATCATAAGCCAACACCATGGGAACTTGTTCCCAATTCCGAAAATACCCCTGCCTACATGCACGGCGTGAAAATTGTCTTCCCAGAATGACCCCGTTTTTGCCAAAAACAAAACTAAACTAAACAAAAGGGAATTGTTTGGATTATGGTTGTGATTTAGGTTGATCATGTTAATGATGAATTACTGAGGAAATTTCGAAATTGCGTACCTTGAGGTGGAGGTCTTGAATCTTGAAGCTGGATTGAAGAATCCTTGTTGTAAAGCGAGAGGAAATCGTGAGTAGCTTTTTTACCTGTAAAAATATTTCTTTTCTCAATAATAATTCGAATTAATCATAACCTTTCTTTCATAATTTCATAGTTAAATTGAATCCGTACCTTGGAACTCCATTTGGTGTTGAATTCAGATCAGAAACCCTAGAATTCAAAAGAATCCAAACAATCGAAGCCAAACGACGAAGGCGTCTGGATCATATCGACAATTATAGAATTTGCCGCCAAATTCCAGCTAGATTCATAATTTATGAACTGGATTCATAATTTAGAAAGATCTTCGACGTCAGAAAGCAGAAAAAATCCGAAGAATCCGCCTGAATTCTGAATAATTCGACCCGTAAACCCTAGGTTTAGACGGGGCAAGAAAGAAGGGAGAGAATAAATGCAGCGAAATTCAAGTGAAACTCAAGCGGAAACTAATTGTAGATCGAGATCCCTCTCCAGCTTTATAACTGCCGAGCGCAAAGAGAGAGGAGATCTTTATACGGCGAACTATTTGATTTTTCTACTTTAATCGCTTCGTCTTCGATCTTCCCCTTTCCCGTTACGTCAAAAGGCCGTTTAAACTAACGCCGTTTATAAATTAACGGTGGTAGCAGCGTCACCGTCAGTGGTCCCTTTCGGCTTCGTTCTGATAGGAAAGGAGGCCGGGTCCACTGATCTAAAGGCAAGGCACACGTGAGAGGGGGTATCACGTGATGGGTGCCAAGCTGACTGCGGTTGTTGGACGTTGACGAAAAGTACAGAGCATGATTAGCGGGCGTTAATCCCAATTAAAACGTACAGATTAGTTACTGACAGTGATCAGACAAAGGAAAAAGGGGTTAATTGTAGGAAGTGTGAGGCTTAATTGCGTTTAAATACTCTATAGTTCCCCACCCTTGCAGTTATATACCCTCACGCAATTTTCAGAATAGAATTAAAATAATTTTAAAAGTAAATTTAACAAACAATAAAGTTTAAAAGAGTCCTAAAATTAGCATGAGAATGTAGGCGAAAATTCACACGTTTGCGTGACAGGGTGTATTAAAATTTAAAATTTTTAAGCTTTATATTATGAATAAGTGCAAGTTCAAAGTCTAATGGGGTAATATGTCCCCTAAAACTTCAAGTAAAATTTCTATGAAACAGTTGAACGTTCATCTTAATTTATTAAGCCCTTAAGCTTTACCCAAAATTTCTATGATGCCCTCAAACTCTTATTTCAATCTATTTATCGCCTAAATTTTTTTAGTTTCATTCTAGTTAGCCCCTAAATTTTTAAATTTCATGCTATTTAGCTAAGATGGTGGTTTTAAACCGCAAAAACCACCCAAATTAATACATGTTTTAGCTAGGGTATAGTTGAAATGTCATAAAAAGAATGACACGACAATGCCTTAAAATTTGAGCTTGTTCAAAGTTTTAAATTCCGTTACCACGTAGTACGCAAGTTTTAAGGTGTACATAGTGAAAAATCAAAGTGTTGTGATGTAAATATAATCAAGATACAAGAATGCATATGTTGATATGTTGATGACGACTATCAAACAAGGGGTTTATGTGTGAACTATGGAGGTGTTAGGGTCCATTGATCTTCTTTTATGGTCGATCCCCCAATAGATTGCTAAAGCTTCCTGCAAAACTACATGTTAGAGGACCGGAGTTGGGCTCTTCACTAATTCCTCCGATGATCAAGTCAGTATTTGAGCCAGAGTGGAGAAATAATACGAAGCTATTTCTTAGCAAGAGATTACTTACCTCTATGCTGTAGACATTCCCTCTATTTATAGTAGGTACAGAGGGGCAATTTTGATCAAGTCCAACAGACTACTTAGTCAGTAGTGACTTTACATGTGTCGGTTATGGGTGACATGAGTCACCTTTATGATCAATGTGATAGTGACAGAGGAAGCATGGTGGCGATGGAGTCTGATGAGTAATAAAGGCTATGGGCTAGAGCAATGATGACTCTGACAATGCATTTAATGTGATGATGACTGGATGTTGGCGTGGGGCTCAAGGATTACCGACTTTTCAACCCAGCCTGGGGAGAAGGAATGACTCGACCTGGCGAGAATGGATGTCTGTTGCGGCCTGGCGAGAAGGGACGACTTAGCCTGGTAAGAAGGAACGGCTCAGCCTGACGAGAAGGGATGACCCGGTCTGGTGAGAAGGGACGCCTTCTGACAAGAAGAGATGATAAATACCATCTTTTTAGTTGGCCTCACAAGTTGTCCTCTTGGCCTGGCGAGAAGGGATGACTCGACTTAGCGAGAAAGGATGACTCGGCCTGGCCAGAAGGGACGCATGAGTCGGCCTGAAGAGAATGGATGACTCGGCCTAACGGCATGGCGATAAGAGACACATGTCTCTGCCTAACGAGAAGGGATGCATGTTTCATCCTAGCGAGAAGGGATGACTCAGCCTGGTGAGAAAGGATGCCTCCTGGTAAGAAGGGACGACTCGGTCTGGTGAGAAGGGATGCTTATCTCGGTCTGGCGAGAAGGTACAAAAAATACAACCTTTTTAGTCGACCTCACAAGTTGTCGCCTTGACCTGACGAAAAGGGATGACTCGGCCTAATGAGAAGGGACGCTTGTCTCGACCTGAAGAGAAGGGATGCTTGTCTCAGTCTGACAAGAAAAGATAACTCTTCCTTTGGTCTGTCGATATTGAGTTAGGATGTAGTTGTTTTCGTCAGGAACAAGTTCTGTTGTAGAATTCATTATAACTGTTTATTGATTACAATGAATGCAAAAGAGTGAGTTTCGTACTTTGTAAAACTACTCTTTATAATAAAAATCAAATTACAAGCTCCTTAGAAACAAACGCAGGATCGTTGTTTGGATCGCTGTTTGCGTGGGATCTTTGCCTGTGCCGGGGGTGCGTTAGCCCGTGGACCACCGATTCACAGATTCTGATTGAATCGTGAAGGTTTTGGGAATTCTTCCTTCGTTTATCGAAGTAAAAATTTAAAGGAAATATCTTATCAATGTAAGATGTTCACTCTTCTAAAGATCAAGTCAGAGCTTAGATCTCTAGGAATCGCCAAAAACTTCTTGAGGATGTTTGTGAAGAAGGAAGACTCTCTCTCTTGCTCCAATTCACCAAAAGCTTAAGTCTCTATGCCCCAATCTGCTCTCCCTCCTTTGTTTCATATCTAGGGAGGTATTTATAAGGATATGAGTGCACAACAGTGGAAATAGGGGCGAAATAACTGACCAAGTGGATGCTCTTTGGGCGCGTCAGTCTATACTGCCGTGGCTATTGGCGCGTCAGTGTGCAGTGTGGACTGACGCGGCCAAAGAGGCCGTTACAGCCACATTTCCATCGTGCTTGAAACCGTCCTCCCACGACTTTTAATCACTTTTTTCGTGGTTTAACTGCTTGTCCACATCAGCACACATTCTTTTTCTGATATGCGGCCACGTGGACCTTAAAAATTATCGTATAACTGCTTTTTTTTAACCGTCATGGCAGCTCCCTATAGTTTGCACGTCACCATGGACTGACACGCAATAAGCGCGTCACCATAGGTTGACGCGCCTTAGGCGCGTCACCATGGACTGTCGCGCCTTAGGCGCGTCACCCTAGGCTGCCGTGCCTATGGCGCATCACCATAGGCTGTCGCGCCGTCGCGCCTTAGGCGCGTCACCCTAGGCTGCCGTGCCTATGGCGCATCACCATAGGCTGTCGCGCCTATATGTGTTGCCTGTCAGTGTGTTTTGTCACATGCATGCACATTATATCTATAAATATTTTTTGACGCCTACAGATACCCCATCCAAAGTATCTCAGACTCGTTCTTTTATAGAAGAGTCTGGGACACTTTGGATAAGATAGGTTTTACTTGTAATCCCTTCAGTATTCAGTTGAAGAAATTACGTAGAATGGTCTGTGAATGGCTTCAATTCCTGACTTCTTCATCTTTTACTCTATTCAGTGCTTTGTAGAATAGCTAAAATTCTTTCGGTGTTGCGTTTATCGTGTGGTCGTTGTCGAAGTCTTGAATTAGAGCTGGTGTTGAAGAATGGAGGAATAGTTTATACTCATATACCCTATCGGAGTGTTCGGAAAATAGTTTAATCTTATATACCCGTTGGGAGGTAATCAGGTTATCCCTAAGAATATTCTGAGTGATATTCTCCAGAAATTTCCTGTTGATGGTAGGGAAACAGTTTAGACTCGTGTACCTATTGGAGTATCTTCAGGCATTGCCCTATAAGTGCACAATATGGACATCCTTACTAATTGCTTGGAACATGATTAGTTTGTAATTCAGTGTAAAATAATATTAGTTCCTTCAGGCATTGCCCTCCGACACTCAAGCTGGCGACGTTTCCGATTAATCTAAAGAGAAAAACAAAATATCGTCTTATTAATTTTTTGTGTGTAAAATTTGCATTATCTTGGTTTAGTGGAGATCACCATTATTTATAGCGGGTTTATGGGGCACATTGGTAATTTTTATCAGGCGTGTGCGGTGATGGTATAGACATGCTTTACACGTGCTGATAGTTGGTTGGCGAGTCGTCTTTTACACAGTGATGTGATTGTTGGAGTAATGACATGTCCGAAGAGCTTTTGAAGGCTCTTGCTTGAACAGCCATAATGCATGGCTGACGCCGCAATAATGGCCTAATGGTGATCGAGTAGCAAAGTGCCGGCACAAGCAATACATTCATTGCAAGGTTGTGTGCCTCTTGTTGTCGCTTGTCAGGCCGATGTATTGTGTCTAGTCCGCTAGGGGACGTATTTCATCTCAGAGCTGGTCATCCAGTGAGATCTGAGTCGAGAGCGCCTTTCGTCTCGGATTTAGTTCTCGAGACGAGTCAGTCATCTGAGCACTTTGGGTCGTGGATGCTTTTAGAGTCGTTAGCTTATTGTCAAGTGACCACTCTTTTAGTAGATCTCATGGTGTAACACTAGGAATGAGACATTAAAATTTACTCTTTGTTATGCCATGAAAACTGCAATGTCGATCTTTAAATTGGTCGCATGACATACTTAGTAGGATGGAGCACATGGCTAACATATCCAACCTAGGTCTAAGCTATAAGGTGGCAAAGTCACCTATGTGGTTTGAGTTTGAGATAAAAGGCGTCTTCAAGTCGAGATCTATCAGTTGATTCCAGACTGAGTTGAAAGGTGTCTTTGGCTCAAGCTCAATAGGAGAAATTCCGAAGCAAGGAATGACTAGTGGCTTCGTCAACAATGTTCGCATTTTATGTAGAAGAGTCTGACGTCCATACTCCGCATGATCGCATATAATGCATGGATAGACACCATAATGACTTCTCAGACGATGCCCAGATTCCCGCTATTCTATCATCGTCGTATTAAATACGATGGGCTCAACTTTCCACCTCTAACCAATCAGCCATGGACACATATAAAGGACGACACAGTGTCAAATCAACTAGTTGGTTAGGTTATGAAGATACTTGCACAAGATTCCTATAACTAGCATCATCTTTGTTATTCTAAGGTAC